GAGATTAGGCAACGACCGTGCAAGTGCTGGTTTGTTACCTCTGTGTCTATTAAAGTCGTACTAGAAATCTGAACTCCACCGCTGGGAATTGCTGTCCGTGCCCCGCCGCTTCGAGGCGGCCGGAAGGTATGTGACAGTGCCGAACGCGGACGTCTTCGTTATTTGTGACATGGGCGCCATGGAACGTATAATTTCGCCCGGCCTTTGTCGCGTGTTATTTCTGCAGCTAAGCAGTGACAGTTGTCACTGGTCGTCCGAAAGATCAGTCGGCTGAGGCGTTGGTGGGCTTGTAAAGTTCGAGCAACGGCCATTTTGAACGGCGAATGGGGGAAGCGGTGGGGAGGGGTGTGGGGGAGGTCGCTCCAAAAATGCGAGTTTATCTTTCCCTCGTCATTCGGAGAGGGTCCCACGGAACGAAATTTCGCCCCCCCCCCCCTCCGCCCCCCTCGCGGATTTTGGAAAGCGCTCTGGATCTACGAGTAGAATTCACCATTAGATGAAGCACATTTTGTCCTAAAAGATTCTTCTTCCTTCAAAAATAATTAGGTGTCTAAATCCATTCAGTCACTAAATCTTTCTTATGTGTTCCACTACTTTCACTACCTCATAAATATTCAATACAAGAATTACGCATGCCTTTACCAAAACTCGCTAAAGATTAGGTTCGGCTTTTACCCAAGAGTGGGTGAGGCAGCTACGCAACGATGTGGCAGCCATCTAATCCCCTGCTCTTCCTACTACGGATTCTCGCTTGGCGTGCCCTACCTGTGGATAACGACGACTCTAGGGTGCTACCATGACACCAGACTCTCCTGAAAGCGCCTTTTCCGGTCATCCGGAATGCCAGTCGCGGTCGCCAAAATTGTTTGCCCCTCGACTATCGAAACTTTCTGTCTGAGTGCTCTCCTGTTTTCGGCGTCACCGAATCGTTATCGTCAACACTCGAATCTTCGCAAGACGCCCCTCTGTTTTGCGCGCGTTTCGTCAGTGGGCGAGACAGCTACCCGACGATGTGGCAGCCATTTAATCCCATGCTCTTCCTGCTACAGGTTGGTAAACGGCGTTCTTATATTCAATTTAAAAGCGAGTTAATACTAATTTTGAGCGGCGATATAGAACTTAATCCGGGACCTATGTCAGAGGCACAGATCAAACAGTTTAATGAAATGTTGAAGCTTCTGCAGGATGTTAACGAGTGGACTGTGTGCTTTGAATCTGGGCAGGAAATGCCTATGAGTTCCGTATGTGCAATTAAGAAAAATTAACAACTGATGGAAAATAGACTTACCTCAGTCGACAATAGGCTTAAAAGCGTAGAGAAGGAGGCTGCAAAGAACGAATGGAAGAAGCAACTGCATGCTGCACAGTGCATTGCTGATAACGCCAGGAAGGAGAATTCCCTCCTGCGTGAGCGCATGGACGAACTAGAGGACCGGTCAAGACGTGATAATTTAATTTTCCACGGAATTGAGTACGTTCCGTCAGAAACGCTGAGTCAGTCTGAGGAGAAGGTCAGAGCGGTAATTTTGCGGGTAATGAATATACAGGTCACAGATGACGCCATAACTCGAGCGCAGAGGATAGGCATGTTTTGGAAAAACAAGTGCCGGCCAATTTATGTTAAGTTTGCGAATTTGAAATCTAGATAAAGCATCTTGTCGTTGAGAACAAAGGCAAAGGGCAATGACGTTTCTATTAATAAGGATTTTTCACCAGCTACACGTCAGGCTTGAAAGAAATTAATCGAATTCGCGAAGGCAATAAATCCTGACATTAACTTTAGATTACGGTATAACAAGCTTCATTTTGATAAACCGGTTTATGTTTACTGCTCCAAAATCGATAGTGTACGCGAGCTCGGGGCTCTTTCTGAGATGAGTCTCGCCGATATAGCCACTGGCGCCCTTGCTGAGTCAGTGAGTGAACCCCTCCGTCATAGTAGCCGAGAAACGATCATTGCCATTCTTCCGAAAATATGTCTATATTGTTTAGTAACATGAGTCGCCTGCTAAAAAAAAACAAGATGAGTTACGCGCTGTCCTTGACTCGTCATCGGCTGACTTTCTGGTACTCACAGAGACGTGGCTTTCCGCTACAATACGGAATAGAGAAATATTAACTTGTTAAAAGCGGGTTAACGTGTATCATTCCGGTAGGCAGTTTGGATCTGGAGATGGTGCACTAATTGCAGTAGCTGACTATATTGCTTCGTATTCTGTGAACCTAGCGTTAAATATTGAGATTCTTTGCGTTTTGTTTTGAGGTTAAATATAAAAAACAAAAATATTTGTGTTTGCTATCGTCCGCCTAAGTGTACCTCTAGTTAAACGAACTTCATGATGCTATCAATATGGTTGTAACAAGGTTTCCAAACAGTCTAATATTTCTTCTATGCGATTTTAATTAACGAAACATCTGTTGGTCGCACGAGAGCCCACTTCCTAATCCATTTTCGTCGGAGTGTTTTGATTTCTTGAACATGTGTTCTGATTTTAACTTATCGCAGCTAGTTACAGAACCCCCAAGAATTGTAGCCATGTCGGTAAATGTTCTTGACCTTGTTCCTTAATATTTCACCTACCAGGAATAATTGATCCCTCCTCGTTACTTGTCTTTCTAAGCATACCAAAGTGTAATAGTATAAAAAAAAAAACCTTTTCGGAGTCTACTGAAAAGCTAATTTCGACGCTATAAACGATGCCCTGACTCAGTTCGTAGATCACTATTTTGTTAACTGCTCCGAGCGTTTTGTTGAGCAGAACTGTAATAGTTTTAAGGGTCAGGTCGCCGTCCTCACCGACAAGTACATTCCACTGCGATCTGTAACGTCTCACCCTCAATCACCGTGGTATAACCCATCATTGAGAAGGCTATCGAGCAAGAAAAAGAGATTGGTTCTCGCCGCTAAATCTTCCAGTAACTGCAACCGGTCGGAGTCTTATCACAACGCCAATGCAGTTTACAAAAATGCTATTCACGATGCGAGATACGCGTATTTTGACGTTAAGCTACCGTCTATGTCAGCCACGAACCCAAAACAATTTTGAAATGTTGTTAGTAAAAAAAAAATCCTATTTTGACTCAAGGCCGCGCACGGAGATATCATTTCTAGCGATGAATGGGCTGGCGTTTTGAACGATGTTTTTATTAAGTACTTTCAAACTGCTAATAATTGTAGATTTGACGCGAGTGATTTTTTGCCTATGGGGCCCGTTTTTGTCGATCCGATAGGTATTGGTAAAATATTCAATAACTTATAACTTACTTCCCTGCTGGCACTGACCGCATTGACTCAAAGCCCCTCAAACACACAAAAATGTATTACTCTTTAATATTATCTCAAATTTTTTCCCTGTCGCTTTCATCTGGAGACTTCCCTGCTGATTGGAAGATACGGAAGGCGGTGCCACTACACAAAGGAGGTGACAAATATTGGCCTTATAACTATCGACCGCTTTCGCTTACTAGCATTCCATGCAAAATACTAGATTATATCATCTACTCACAACTAGTTAGAGTCTAAACTTTTCTTCAGCACCGCTCCGCATGGCTTTCGTAAATCCTTCTCTTGCGAAACGCAACTTTTGTCATTCACCCATGATTTTCACCTAGCGCTTGACTGAGGGTCCTAGGTATACTGCATTTTTTTTTTTACTTTTCCAAAGCGTTTGATAAAGTTTTACACAAGCTGCTGCTATTAAAACTCAACAGTCTTAACATCGACGCAGATGTTCTGTCCTTGATAACTTGTTTACTCACTAATGGTTCCCAGTTTGTAACCACTAACGATGAAACATCACCACTCGCCTCCGTCAATTCTGGAGTTCCACAAAGTTCTGTATTAGGTCCGCTATTGTTTGTTATCTATATTAACGACTGGCCGAATTCGATATCATCTTCTATTAGTTTATTCACCAATGATTGTCTAATTTACACAGAAGTTACTAACGCCCCGGGATATTCTGAATTTAGCTGACATTAACCATGTCTCAAAATGGTGTGAATTATGGGGGATGGAACTTAACAGGACTAAATGCAAGGCCATGAGAGTATCGCGTAAATGTAATGTTCCTTCTTAGTTGCTCGAAAATGTCGCCTTACTTTCTGTCTCTTCTTATAAATACTTAGGTGTGTATATAACCTCATATATTTCCTGGCCAATGCATGTTGAGCATGTTATTAATAACGCTAATCGAATGCTGGGTTACCAAAAACGAAACTTTTCACTTGCCCCTTTATCTCTGAAACGAACCCGGTACAAAGCACTTGTACGCTCTAGATTACAATATACTTCTTCTATCTGGGACCCCGGCCATTGCAAACTAACTAACGCCCTAGAATCAGTTCCGAATCGCTCTGTTGGTTTTATTCTTAATAACTTCCATCGCACCGCAAGCGTGAGCTCCGTGAAAACTAGCCTATCGTTGCCTAACCTCCCTTTACGTCGCAAAATAGGTCGCTTAAGTCTCTTTCATAAGATATACCATACTAACTCATTGCTTCACAACCTACTGCTGAATCATTGGTCATATTTCGTCACGCATTGATCATATGTGTAAAGTGGACATTCTAAAATGTAACAATAATTCACTCCGAGAGTCATTAATTCCGAAAACTTCAGTGGATTGGAACCATCTTCCCCCATCTATCGCAACAATTGTTCCTGACCACTTCTTTAGAACTGCCATAATTAATCTATACTGCTCAGATTGAGCTACAAAGTGTACTGCTGCCACTAATCCCCACTCCCCTCTGTAATGTCGATGGCCTTGACGTTTTTTTAAATAAATAAATAAATTATTAATCTGCATGTGAGAACCGTAGGATATACTTTAAAGCACACGGCCTAGAAAAGAGGGTGTCCTTACCTTCGCTAAAACATTAGATGCGCCTCTCGTTGATATGTCGAAGTTAAAAAAGGCAATGACTTCGTACTATCCAGCGATGACGACAAGAGCTTCGAGCACTCTCTCTGGAGATCAAGTGAAAAACAACCAGTCTTTTTTATCCTCAAAGATTCGCATATCTTTCTTTTATTTCAATCACGATAAGAATGTTGACAGATACATTGCAGAAATTCAATCTTGCAGTGCATTTGACCGCGATCTAGATCTTTCAAAGAGCAACTTAGTCTCCACATACCAAATTACACACATCACTGACATACTATTGCGTAAGCATATTTAGGGTATGACTTATGTGACTGATCGTTCTACGGCGCTTGTACAATCCAGAAGCATTAGAATAGTTGGATAATTTCAGCACATATAAAACAAGAAATGATGATTCTTCAACTTTATTTTTGTAAGACTAGTAACAACGAACTGATTCAATATGTTTTGCAAAAATGGTGATGTTTGCTTCTAAAAAGTAGCTATTACCGCAGTTGGTTGTGTTTGATTATGATGTAGATTAAAAAAGTTTAATTGTCAATTGCAATCTTACCTTGGTACTCCGACCGTGTACATGTCAGGAAGCTTTTAATTATATCTGCGATTGGTCTCTGACTCATGTAACGTGAACAAGAAGGTCCTAAGAATAGAGCTGGCAATTTTTATTTATAACTCCACACATTTATTCCAAGGTTTCTTTTTCGTAATTAGGCAAGCTTGACACCAATCTTGCAGTCCCGTACATAGTGTCACCAAATAAGTTCCAGCCGACAGTAATAAAGGACGAAACCCCCGTCACACGTGCTCCAGCTAATAACTTGCAGCGTCAGCTTACACATTGTTTTGTGCGACTTTAAGAACTTCGCACTTCGTCGAGGAGTGACATTTTGTGAGGCAACTGGGACGATGCACAATTTGAGAAGTTCTACGCATTTGCCAACGTTTACATGACTTATATATGACGACTATGGTGATAGCCGTCATATATATTTATATACGTGACGGCTATAGTCTTTGTGTGCACAGAAAAACACTTTTTTTATAAACAATAAAGAAAATATAATACGCGATACCCTGTAAGTTGACAAGTGAGCCAGTGTCTACTTGTCTGGACATTTTATAAAAGGCCGAAATGCATAAAAAAACATCAAACTTTCCTAAAATAAACTACTATTGGAAAATTATTTGTATACTGGCCTCCAAACGCTTCCTAAGGTAGAACACTACAGAACAACCTGATGCTGCTCCTGGTGCCACATAAGATTAATTTTAAATGACCTTGTTGAATAACACTTCTTTGCCCAAAAATGTTTTGTACAGATTTTTGAGATGTTTCGATGTGGTATAGAATGCAGGTTTTAGTAGATGACTGGTATTTTCCAAGAACCCACTTCCGCGCAAGAAATGGCAATATTAGACAATCCAATTTTAATTGGAGATCTCTATGTTTTCAAATGTCCTATTGTCAACCAGACAAAAATGTTGTTGCAAACAGCCTTAGAAATGACCAAGCAAGTACCTTTATTAAATACATACAGTAACATCTTACAATTTACCTTGTTTCTGGACTCTATGCAGCCTGATGTAGCTCATTTTTGTCACGTACATCTTTCATTCCGTTTCCAAACACGCACACAACTGGTCACTAATGAATAAAAATTCCGTCGGTATAATTTTTTTATTTCCAAAACAAAGTGTATGTCTGCTAAAGTGATGGTTTCTTTAATTCAACCTGCCTATATTAGTTTCAGATTTCTGCTAATTTATTTAAAAAAAGGGAATACTGTGGTGTATAATCTTGAAAATGAGGCGGCCACTGGTGTTTTTTGTTTTTCTCTCATTTTTGTTTTTACGGTGACGTAATGTGATGTAGCAGGCTGGATGTTCTTAGCCCGGTTTAAAATTCAGTTTGCACGTGTCTAACAACTAGGAAACATCATCATTAAAACTTTAAGAGCGACCTTTCTAACACAGTTAAAATTTAACAAAAGGTACGAGTGCATAATATTATTTGACGATTGACGCTTTCGAGAACCTGAACGCCCATTGCTTTGAATTGGTTGACACTGGTACGTGAAATAAACGAATAGAGAAATGAAAGGATTTACCACAGCTGTGTATAGCAAACCGCCAGTTAATGATTAAGCTGGCGACGTTTTTGAAAACTAAGAAACGTTAGCGACAATATTAACTTCATGTAATTGAACGGCAGACACTTTATAAAATATTGACGATTCTGTGTATTCAATTTCACTCAAGTTTGAGCTTAAAACTGTGTGGTGACAACGATTGATAGTATTCAAGCATTGCCTCCTTGATGTTCGCAGGAAGATGCGGAGATCGTAGAACTTTCTCACCGCAGATGAACAGCCCGAGAAATTGGACTCGCTTTCCGCTAAATCATCGTGGACAGGTCCCTAATTTTCACAAAAATCCACACTCCGCTTTGTCAACTTTTAAAGTTCAGAGGTGGTGGATTTTTCCCAGGCTATTCACTTTTCTAACAGCGCTTTAGCGCTGCGTTGGCGGTGAAAATGCTCTCAGATGATGTTAATATGCGATCAACTCTTGAGACAAAATATTTCCATCATAGTTCTACAAACGGTAACAGTTTAACATGACATTCTTGCGTACTCATATCGAGGGGATGATTTTTTGTTTTCTCAGAAGTCGAGCTGGTTCAACCGGTTCTCAACCCCGCCTTATAAGACACCCAATTCGACTGACACTGATGGTTGGTCACAGTTCTCCACAACCACTTTGCGGTCATGATTGTCCCGACGTGGTTACCGAGATCACTGAACGCAGGCTAATTCGACGTTTCCATTAACAAGGGGGCAGTGGCGTGGTTCAGGCAGTCCTCTGGGGATCACTGTACACGGTCCCTGAAAGCCACGACAAAGGGCCTAACCTTAGAGGCATGTCTCTTTCTGGATGACCCCTTCGAGAAGGTTGTCTTCGCTCGTATCGGCTGGTGCACCGCCGTCCGAGTCGGCATCGTGGCACTCCCAGCGAATCGGACAGCCTCCGTTGAGTTTTCGCTGGCTGCCTGTCTTGTCTTCCGGCGTCCGCTTGGCTGGGTCCAGGTACTCCGGAATGGACATCCTCTTGACCGCACCGAGCGACTCCTGGTCGGCGTTGCTCAGCAGCCGCTGGCTCGTCCTACTCTTAATTGAGTTCGGAGACGGGCTCTTGGCTACGCCTTCTCTCCTGTCCACTGTGTACAAAACAAACGAAAAAAGAAAGGGAAAGGGCGTTAGGAAGATTATACAGGAGTGTAACTGTAACCCATTGCCGTAAACGAGTGGGAGGTTGTGAGTGTCTAAATAATTGAAAGGGAGCTCCCGTGCAGCAAAACTAAAGACGGCCGCTTCTCATTGGGCGTGATTTCTTAATTAGTGCTCGAACGATGCCAATTATCTGTGAAAAATACAGGCTGAAGGTATTGCAGTCCATATTAAGAGTGCATGAATCGGGTTTCGAATTGCAGAACGCAAATTTCTCTAGCGTCAACACTGCCAAGAGAACCGGAATATTTCGTGGATTTTTCTTTCACCAAGAATGCTGTGAATTGCGCGGAGCGTTATGATTCGCATCGTTATTGGTACAACCCTAGTGCAGACCAAACATAAACAGAACACGCGAATGATGTCTCATCTCGTGGGAGCACAGCCCTGTTGGCAGCAGAAAAGCTACGCCAGAACGTAGCGCGTACTCGAACAGCCTGGCGCAGGGCAAGCCGCTTGTTCATGATCAATATTACGGGTGGACGGTGAACATTGCACTTTCGGCAGCCGCCTATGCATCGTAGTGCGAATGGGTAGCGTCAAGCTTGAATACCTAAGCAGGCAAAAAAGGTGCGGCGTCCCCACTTCAGTCACGATTTGGACCCTAAGCAGGCGTCTTCCACCGCACGGGCTGTTTTATTAAACTCCTCGACGTCCTGGGGTAGATCTTCGGCCGCTTCTAGGATAGCAATCTCATTGAACAAAACATCGTTCTCCTGCTCAGTATATTCTTGGTGAGCGATGAACATTATTTTTAATGCATATCTTGCGATAAGCTGATGACGTTTTCGTGTATATTGTGCACCTTTTAGTAAAGCTTTCAAGTACTGGAATTTTACAAATATATTTAGATATGCACCCGTATCAAAATAAAAGCCACACAACGTACAAGTGAACCATAATTCTGACCAAACATGCTGGCAATCATTTTTAATCTTTATTATTTTATCAAAGTCGTATTGATGAAAATTGTTTTATTAATGGCCACGCGCGTTGTAAACTAGAAATTTTAGCTAAAAAAATCGCCTTGATGAATATTGAAAACACAGGTTATTTGACTACTTACTAATTACTCTAGGTTTTACAAATGTAAAACAACAACTTTTGTGTTAGTAGGTGTAACCTGGGTTTACCAACTGATCCAAGAATCATAACATGTGGAGCTAACGACAACTGCTACATCATGCAGACAACTTGATTACTTTCTGTAGGGGGTGCATTGTAATTGGTAGAGGGCGTTAGAACGGCAGCGGGGATTCGGAGATCACTGTGAAAATTTCAGGATATTTCTTGGTGTCATTACGCTAATATTGGGGATGCTGTCCGTTAATAGTTTCTTCCTTAATAATCCTACCGAGAAGCGGGTCTTCATTTTATTTTTTGCCATGAATTTTAAAAGGTTTACAACTGTCATCATCGCCATCATCATAATCACTGTCGGTTTATTTTATAAGCTCATCAGGAGCGAAATTGTCCTGATTAGGCTTGACAAAAGAGAATTAGATATGTTAATGTTCATTCAATTTATAGTTATACAAAATTCTTTTTTCAGTTATGAAACGAGGAATAACTGTAATTAACCCATTGACGGTCTAGTTATTTTGTTTTATCGAAAAGTTGTTTCCCATAGTCGTGTTTTATTTCCCCAAAAAAGGTTATAAAGAAATCCAAATGCACCGGCGTTTCCTTAGTAATTTAGCGGGAACACATAGAGTGCTTGCACCCAGTTAAGGTTTAGAAAGATCAAATTAAAATATTTAAGGCCAAATGTTGTCACTTATTTTCTTCCATTTTATTTTATTTTGGTACATCCGCTTCAGCAAAATTCCAGAGGTTTCATACTTCCAACCGGAGGCACACTTTACAGTGCTTCTCCGTTGAATGATGAATCTTCAACCTGTGACTTTAATTTCTAAGCGCGTTAGAAATCTGCATCAAAAAAGTCAGTGCGTCTATTGCCTCTACCGCCAAAGTGGCCGGCATTTCAAGTGATCATCACTGCCACGGAGCGTCTAATATATATAAAAAAACATGAATATCCCAGCAAAGCGACACACCGCGTGAATAATAACGTTTACAGATCACCGAAGACATAACAAATAGCCACACCTCCGGCGGTTTGCTCAGTTTTGTGGTGTGGTGGGCTCTTTGAAACACGTGATCGACGCAGTACATCTATGGCGACGACCGTAAAATGGTTTACAAAAGCAAATAGCAACAGAACTCAATGACAGGTAAAAACAGTATACACAAAATAACTTGCACGAAACTCACAACAAATATCTTGTTTAGAATACATAATAAATAGTGAAGTATTAGTCGAAGAAGCTGTAAACGCCTGAATTGAGGTTATTGATACCGATTCTATTGAAAGTGTTAAAACAATGTTCAATGCGATTCATTAGAATCGTTAGCTTTATTTTTCATTGGAAAGACGGAAAGTAACCCTCAGTATTACTCACGGTGCGGAGATACAGTCGACGAAAGTGAGACGTCTCTTAGCACAGGGTTGAGCTCGCGGCCTTCGGGATATTCTTTACCTCGGAACAAAAAGATCCGGTGCTTAGTACATCTGGTAAAAAAATCTCCGTGTAGACAATAGTCTCCAGAAATAAGAGAAGAGATTTGTATAGGACGAGGCCCATAATTCACAGCCTAGAGTTGCCCGCGGTAGAGCCTGCGACACCTAAGGACCTACCTTTTTTCAGTATGATTCTGTAGCAGCAAATAAAAACTGTCATCAAATATTCTTCATCATTTGAACCTATGCAATGTCGAGCTCCGCGAGATATTGCCCATCGGTTCGCTTGTAGAAGTTGCGCCCCTTGCAGGTTCGCTTTCAAGGGGCGTGGTCGTACATCCACAAAGGTCGTTCGAGGTTGACTGGGAATCAATATTTTCACAAAAAAGTTTTAAAAAAAATCACCAAGTACAAAACTATATAATTTTAGAAACTCCTGCATGCCCATCCAGACATCGCTGCCTTCGTTTGGCAGCTCCCTGATTACCTTGCCGTAGAAAGAACTAGAATGCCTAACAGCAGACAAACGAACGTGTCTGTGGCATTCATTTTTCAGCCGCTGTCGTCCTTCTCCAAACTGTCGACATCATTCGTGCATTTTTTTACCGTGATAGAGATTGTTCCCCTAATGCTCTTGCTAAACTTCCAGATGATTTACCTTAATCCTTACGCCTAAATATGAGTGTTCACCACTGTTCCACAGGTACAGAAACAATTATTGCCGCCATGACAGCTGAAAAACCTTGCACATGCTTCAAATATGCCCTTCAAGTTGCAGGATATTCGACAAGAATTCCATTAACGTTCTGCGCAAGCTTGATTATACTGCACTTATTCAGATTTCTTGTGAGCAAAAGTCCCGGTAAACATTTGTAGATTCTCTGAACATGCTCCCCTCTCCTTACATATTTCTCTTTTGATTTGTCGTTCTTAACAATGGCTTAGTCGCCACCAGGGATGGGCAGTATTTCAAATACCAGTATTTGAAGTACGTATTACAAATACTTTGTGTATTTCGCATTTGTATTTATTTACAAATCGGGTAATGTATTTGACGTGTGTATTTGAATACTAAAACGTGGGTATTTCAAATACAATTGTAATTAAATACAATTTTGTTGGCGAAAATACATCCCTCAAATTTATTGCCACTGTCCAGAGCAGGAAGAAAACTACTTTCTGCACCGAATGCAGTGTCTCTCAATCAAGCACAAGCGTTTAGTGGCTTTGTGATTACGGTGCTAGTCCAGGGCAAGAATCGTAACGAAATCGACCTTCACAGGCAGACTGGCTAAACAAGTGCCTGTGACAACTTGTGATGCTTTCCAGCCTGATCTCCATCCACATTTTTGCCTGGAACATTCTAGTGCTGCGCGTCTTGGTCGTCTCGGTTCTTTGTTGGTCTATACCAACATGTAATCGACAAACAGCGCTGCTTGAAGCTCTGTACTTTTTCACCTATTACGTCCAAGCTGATTACATTTTTTTGTGATTATATTTCTGTTACGTTACTAGAGCCTCGCACACTAACTCCCGAGTGTGCGATGCAAAAATAAAATGAGATACTCAGAAACCTGTTGCAGGTGCCCTGAAGTCGCTGACACAAATTTTGAGGAATGTATTTGAAAAAGTATTTGGAGGAGACCAAATACATTTGGTTGTATTTGTATCTTGTACCTAAATACTTTTTTGGAAATGTAATTAGGTTTGTAATTAAGTACATCTTGACGAAGTATTTTGTATTTGTATTTCGATACATATTTGCATGTATTTTGCCCATGCCTGGTCAACACTAAACTGTGTGTGCAAGGTTTTGTTTATGCCCGTCTCTTTCTTCAATTATGTCGGTGCTACTTGACAATATAGTGATCTCCAAGGAAGAGCAAGGCACGGTGCATAATTGCACGCTGCCAAAAAGACGTGACTACAACAAGGGACTAGCCTCCAGAGCACAGTTAAAGCTACCACATTAATTTTGGGAGGGAACGTGGCTCTCGATCGCTGGATTTCATGGCATATTCATTTAACACGTATAACACGGCACGTCCCATCACACCACAGACGTTATATGAAGCAGTGCCAGCCGCCGTTTGTTATGACTGCTGTCAAAGCTTAAATAACGTATCTAAGCGCCAATGATTTTAAGAGTTGCGATTTTTGTTAGCTTCACAAGCGGTAGTTCCAAACCTAGTTAAAAGCCAAAAAAGAAAGAGCCTACACAAGCGAGAATATGAATCATATTGCTACTTAATTACACCTAGAATAAATCCGTCGGTGTTTTCTCTCGAAACGTCACAAGATTCTTGGTCCACCTTGCTAGGAGCCGCGTCTCAGCTGAGACTGTGGGAAAGAAAGCAATGCCAAAGCCAGCGCTCGAGCTAAGCTGGACTCAAGCCGCGTCTCAAGACAGTCGCGCGCACGACCCTTCGCACTGGTTTCTTTCACTCAGTCTCAGCTGAGACGCTGTTCTAGCAAGCCGGCCCTGGTCCCTGTCCAAATTAATTTACCGCTCTTTTCCAAAGCTGAAAATATTATGTATCACAACAAGGAACTTCAATCGGCGAGGCGAATAAAGCCTTCATTTACTTTGTGTAAAGAAAAAAAAAACAAGAAAAAAAAAAACATGAGAGATAGTTTTTTGAGTAAACGGACAACACTTACGGAACCATGCTGGATCAGATGACAAAACAGAATTATTTAAACAATCCTGCTCAGTATGCTACAAGGCTACGTTTCATTGCTAAGTTTTCCGCCCATCCATTCTCGTCTCGTGGCGTATTTTTAGTTTATCACGCAGATTGACAGTTCTCTCGAAAATGCCTCCTTTTTCGCGCTGCGAAGTTGAGTAATACAATCAGACAATAACGTAATTTGGCTTGTGCTTAACTGTGAACACAAGCCGGCAAATTCTGCTTTGTCCTCGATTTGCGGCGGTGGAAGGACTCGCACCTTTTCAGATTGAGGCTGCCCTGCCATTTTTGCTAATCCCATGACATCGAGGAGCAAGAAAATACGACGCTGCGTAAACAGGTCATTTTGGGCGTTGCCACGTGGGTAGTATGGGTCTATGCGGATATATACACATAATATAAATAAACGTAAATGTGAGTGCCGAAAGCATTCCCATCCCCTGCTCAACAAATGCTTGCTCGGTAAGACCAAGCGAGCCACCTGCCTTCCTCTGGGATTACGGATTTTCTCGGGTTTGCCTGGTCTCCACTTAAATTTTGTTTGTGAGAGTATTTATTTGAGATCGTTCTTAGAAAAAGCTTGTTCGTAGTTGCAGCAAGATAGGTGACCAACGGTATGGGTACTGGCACTCGCTTCCGATATTGCACTCTTGCTGCTCGGCGGAGTTAGTCATAAATCTCCATTTCGTGTTGCGCTACTAGGCTATATGTGCACGTGTCTGATACCAATACTGTGTTCTTTTGTTTGCATCTGTGAGAAGGGTACACCAAGGTAATAGTGTACCTTAATTCTTTTTTATTATTTGCTTATAATGCTAACATTAACCCAATAAGAGTCTTACTACCCCAACATAATTAGCTAAAATCACAAATAAATACGACTCCCAAAACCTTTAAGCTGGCGACTTGAATTATATGTGCTCGCGGGATCTCGCTTCATTGTACGCGCCGTTACGGAAAAATTCATAATGAGGTAGCACATTGAGTGGAGGGTTGTAAACAGCTCGTAGATTGAAGTTTTATTCTTCAACTAAAATCTATCCCCAAATTATTAGGTGATTTAATTTAGTGTCAGGATACTACTCATTCAATATTTTTCTGCGGATTCACGTACATGTTTAATACACCCAAAAAAACCATCTGCTCGAAACCCAAACCGAAACACGAGCATTGAAGCTCATGGCCGGAAGTCACGTGGCTACACTCGAACGCGTTTTTTTTTTTATTGTTTTTTTCTTTGTCAGCCTTTCCGGCTTCTGAAGCAGACGACGACAACGACAAACTTACGTGAACCGCTTGTCGTGCGATTATTTTGCACTTATATCCCTTCCGCTCGATGCTTTGCGCTTGGCCGGTACCACGAAAGACAGTTCCGAAGCAGCGGCCAAACGTCCGTCGTGCCCCGCTATCGCGTCGTTGAGCCCGTGGTACGTCGCCATATTTACAGTGATGTGCACATGAACAGTGCTCCTGAAACTTAATACCGCCACTCGGTTACCCCATTATTTATTTATTTCCGGCTACTCACCGTTAAATTAGTCACTGTAGCAGATGGAACTATCACCTTAGGCAAAATTGTGATCGGGAAGTCGACCCTTTCCCACATAGTTTTAGCGGTAGGTTCAGAAATAGCACAAAATGTGCCAGAAATGGACCATCTCGTGGCGGCGTTAAGTTTGGGGTGCACTGTACTTCTGTGATGTGCGCAAAAAAAATTTTTTTTCTTTTTTTCCGGAAGCGTGTTGCATTTTTTGTATGCCACAAAAATAGCGTTATCATATTTTCTATTTTTGATATTGCATTTATGTCTTAGATAACCCACGACTTTGACTATATTTGTTACAGATAGTTTCAACTCCACATGAACATGGAAACAACAGTGAGCGCGACTGAAACAGGCCAATTCTCCACGGGCTGTTTTCGGGCAGATACAAAACTATTTTCTAGGCGCAAATTGTGTTATGGGTCGTTGGGCTCTTACAAGTCATGTTCAAATAAAAATGTCGGCAAGCATAAATACCCTCTGAATGTCTTTAAGATTTCAATGATTCAAGCAATCAAGACCAAGCGCACAGTAGAGATGAAACTCCCGCCCCGCAGAAATTTAAATGCCTTTGTGAGGGGGGGGGGGGGGGGGGGGTTGCCAGCTAATCGCGAGCCAATCTGAAAGCCAGCGGCGCGATACCTCTTGGCTATGATCCCACTGAGAAGACACGTGCCACACAAATGGGGTAACATAGCATTTTTCGCCTCCCGTAAGCATCGTTAAGACCAGAGACGACGGAAAGAATGGTTTTAGTTGTTTTAAAGTTTTAGTATTGCGTATACAAGCGAACGAAAGCCTTGTGCGTTTGCGGTAGCGTTCCAAAGTTTTACTGAGGCCTTGGATTTGTGCATGGCAACATCGCGCATGCGCAGCGTGGAGAACGCAACGCTAGAGCAAACGCACAGCGCTTGCGTTTGCTCATATACCCTATGCTAAAACTCACTGTTAAGACGCGTGTGTTGTCCCCATTCTTTCCGTCGTCTCGGGTGTTAATGATGGCCAACCTTTACCAGCTCGCCTGTTTAGTAGCTTTATTATCCCGTAAGTATGCCCGATTTAAATAGTGACTTTTAGCAAACCGTTACCGTGTTCCGCATACCGGACTACCGGAGCCTTTAGAGCATGCTTTTAAGCGGGTGCCCGAGTGGTACCGTGACCGCGGGGAGCGCGATTAAAAGCCTGCTTTTAAGGCTCCGGCAGCTGCGGTACGCGGAACACGGTAAAGGTTTGCTAAAATTGCATAATACTATAGACGACTGCAAGCAAGGCCACTGGCCGCCGCCATGTCTTTGCTAGTTCGGACAAGCCCGTGCAATTTCAGGCTTGCCAAAGTTATGTTCACGCGCAAGCTGCACACGCTTGCACTTCTGGGGTACCCGTTGGGGTGACAGGCTTGCGATTGTCTATAGAGCGCGAAAAAGCCAGCGAAGTACCGGGTACTGCAATGGGAATGGAATAAGAATCCAGCAGACATTTCTTATGTCTTTTAATTGGTTGCTTTTCAGAATTGCTCTCTTAATTTGCGTTTTTGGACAACCGAAACTCGCAATTTGTTTGCGGGAGGTAGCTTTCTTTTATATTAATACGACTGGTATCTCCTATTTTGAAAACGGATTACGAATCTTCACTTGTAATTTGTCTTCAGAGATGACTATTTTAATGAATTAGTTTGTAAACATTATGTGTTTAGTTGGCCTGTTATCACGTAATAAGAATATTCCAGGGAATAACTTTTTTTAAAGGGACTTTTCATTTAGTTTATGATAGAAAGGGGCACAATGTAAAACCTCACACGACGAAAAAATAAGAAAACTGGAGAGACGACCATTATCTTAAAGTCATCTAATAAATGTACGGCAGTATTTCAAGGGCGGTCGACTAAGTGTTTCTAAAAAGTGCGCTCGGTGTTGGGTAGTCCAGGCCAGCCGTGTCTGCGCGGTGCTCACCGGAGTGCAACGATTGGATGGAACTCCGACCTCTGCTGAGGAAAGTGACCGACTGGGTGAAGAGCGAGTGCCGGTGCTGCAGCTGCTTGTCCCCGCAGCCCGGACCGCGACGGTCGCAGCGCCATCTCTGGAACAACTTGCGCAGCTCCGTCTGCACCTGGGGCGCCAAGATACGCGAGCAGTCAGCGCGGAACGCTTCCTTGGGCAGACGCCCAGTTAGCGAAAATGAAATAAACGACCCCTTGGTAATGGACTGCCCGAAGACAAGAAATGGTTAAACAGGCTACATAAATGGTAACGATTATAAAGGACACGTGCTACGTTATTCTTATATTGCAGTTATTAGGATAATCTAGGTGTTATAGAAAGGTGCGCATACACAAAAAATTCACTCTATTTATATAGAAGCATAAATTTATCACGCATAAAACGCAATGAGCTAAGAAATAGAGTTAATACAGTAGTAAAAAAGGTTACACATAAACGTGCAGCTTTTAAAAGAACAGAGACAATTCAAGTTTTATTTTGTCATTGGACAACCTGTCCTCGTCTCGACAGATCCCGGAAAACGATAAAATTGGAATACGTCGGTTCCGTATTTGAACGGATGACATTTCTTCCTTAAGATCGTGTCTCTTGTGCGCAACACAAGCGTATCCTGAAAATATATTTAGATTGATAGATACCAGTGGAGTTACGAAACTTATTATGTAAAAGTCGGCGTTGTCGCCGTTCCGCCATTGTCAAGTCTACTACATTACAATAGTAACTGACAACTCAATTAGGAAAGAAAGTACGCTGCGAATTTGGAACATGTTATTAGTGCTCCACAGCCATCTAGATCGCACCACTGGCAGATAAGAACAGAAAAGAACGAATCATGAAGAAGCGTGGACGCATCTGGCGACGCCCTGCCTTTTTTATGCTCTCACTCTCAATTACGCTCTCAAGGATCACTCGGTGAGAAGCTAATGTTCGCACTACCTAGGGTGGTATCTGGAACGCGTCTCCGACTGGCTGTCAACCACGTTAAAAAAGTAGTCCGTCGATTTTCGCGCGATGACGTCATAGGAAGTGTCACGCTGTCCCCGGCAGCCATCCTGGCGGCATCATAGAAGCGGTGATGGATGTGGCAGACGCCTGTTCTGATCCAGGTCACTCTCCATCTCGACAGTCCACGGAAGCTTTTGGGCAGCCAGGAGTAGGGACGCCGTAACGTCAGCGACACTAACGTTCGCTTGTACGTTTCGCCATCCGATGGCAAGACACCCAGGTTTTTGTGAGGTCACTTGTCGCGACTTTGGGACCACTTTCGATGCATGTGCGGAATGGGACACGAAAGACGTCAGGCGGAGATACGTTCCGGGCACCGTACCAGGGGGAAGAAGGTGGGAAAGGGATTGCGCCACAGCATGGAAGCGGACATGATAAGAACGCATGTGTTGTTGGACATTTACAACTTTATTTTATGCGAGACAAAGGGCACATGCTTGTCATTTAATGTGATGTTTAGATAAATGTGCACTTTCGTTCCAGCTCATTTGTTTGGTTTTGTTTTTTCCCGTCATGTGATCACGCACAGCGACTTGCCTGCGGCTTTGTTCACATCGGCCAGGTCACCGTCTTCGCGAGTCATATCTGCGAAGTGCGACTCAAGGGCTCGTTAGTGCTTATCAGAAGTATCTTATGAGATAAGTATATCGAGAAACATACGAGAATCGTCGTGACAGTAAGTTCTTGTTTTAATTCTTGTTTTTTGTAGTTGCGGACCTGGACTTCAGCTCGTGCAACCTAACAAGGGCCTCCCTGTTGGCCTGCTTCCAGTATGAGTAAGCTTCCCTTATGACGCCGAGCTGCAAGCACAAGCCAGTAGACATGATACTCCTGCCGCTCGAGTGCAATGCAGCCCGGGCGCATTACAAAGGAGGAGCTCGGGCACCCTCTAAATTCACGCAATGACTAGCGATAATGTCAGACAGCTGAAAAACTTCCACGTCGCTCCTGTATTTTTCATCCGAACGTATGGCTGTTCGAGATGTTTTAAAATATTTAGCAAGCTTCAGTAATGTGCTCAAACCTGATAGAGCTTCGATGCCGGCCGAAATCAGACAAGAGGAGATCATTTCGTCTAATGTGCGCTGTTGTTTTCAAGGCGTCCTCCAACCTTTCCTAGTCCTTCATTTACGCGACTACACTTTTTAAGTCCACCTGATTAAGCAACTTGTTCTTCGTGGCTAGGGTCAAGTAATCAGTGTAGCTTGCAGTCGTAGTCACAACTTCCAGGAAAAACAAGTGATTTTGGCTGAGAAGTTTTAATTACATGCTCATTTTATTCATGTGGCATTCTAGTTAACCCAAGGCATCTTGGAGTACTCTTTTGAAAGTACCAATATACATGCGTACATGGCTTTTTTCATAGCAGGTCGTCATTAGAAGGTTCGACCGTACTGTTGCGGCTTGTGTATCCAAAGCAATTCCAAGTCACAAGCGCGTATAGTGTGACCAGGGCTGCAACAAAAGGCCCCCATCGCCCCAATTAATCACATATTATCACGCGAGAATACTATATACAATTTCAAGTTTCAGACAAATCAGGCATGGCCAGTGCCTGGATGCAAGGATTGGTGCTTGGAAGAAGTCAATCGGCGCAGGATGTTTGTCCTGTTAATATGGAAACCCGTTAATAAAAGCTCAGTTTTGAAAGGTGACAAGGATATGTCAAGTGTTTTCAGTGTATTGATGAGCCTAGCTCATTCTACCTAATGCAAAGCAGCCTCAGCTGATGGGCTATCTGTTCGTTAGTTATATGATGCGTGAACCGCACTTTTATGATTTAGTGTGCACGATGCGTTGATGTCGCTCGTTAGTTGACGCAAAGTTGGCTCATAAACTACGTAAGACTTATTTTATTCTGAGAATGTGTTTCAAGTATTGTGTATAGTACTGTGACCCTCCTGTGAATGTGATTATATAACTTGATAAAATTATTTTGATGAGTTTCAATCCTGAAACAATTAATGTATGTCAAAACATGTTTGCAATCGCTGGTTTATTGTTGTCCTTTAGTAATATTTGGAGTGTTAGCGGTCTTGCTATATATTACTAATTGCTGAGCTTGACATCAAAGATGCCTTCCCGGCAATTGACAATGAAGGGTGTTGAGAGCAGCATTATACAGAGCCGGTGGATAAATTCCCATGCTTCTTGTAATATTTATTATTACATGCATTAACTATGAGTCTCTGGCGTTGTGACCCTGGAGCATGGAGAGGGATATTACAAATACAAAGATTCAAAGCTTCAAAGCTGTGTTCAGTTTTATTTGTGCCGTCCCTCCCCGACCTTCAGGCCAGGTTTATGATGTCTGTTCTCAAGCAGGTTGCTTTCATACTTGCTATGACTGCTCAATTTCAGTTCTTGAATCGAAATGCATGCTTTACCTGAATATCAAACACTTTTTCCCAAAGATGACACTTTAGGCCTAGACTGAAGGCCTACAATCAGAGAAAAGCAAACAGAAGGATGGGTAACAAAGAGGTTTGAGAACACAACGAGAAGCCATCATTCTTTTCTGAAGGCGTCCAGCTTTTCTTCAGCTCACATCATTGAATAAAATATGGAGACCTAGTTGCTCGATGTCACAATAATTTGTCTACAAACTTGCATATTGTACAAGAAATGCACCTTGGATCCAAGGACAGTGCCAGAGGGGGATCGAGAATGCAAATGTTGGTGATATCAAAATGAATGCAGCATATCTTGATCAAATTATGAACAGCCGTGCAGTAGCTCTAAAATGTATCATTTATCTTCAAGAATCTTATTACTGGCCAGGTTCAAGGCAAGGAAACAAAATGCCTTGAAGGGTATTAGATAGAAACTCGTCCAAGCGTTTGCACTGTCCAATTTACAAAACACGGCAGCATAAGCAAGAGTACTTACTGCTCACATTATAGGCGCTGGGAATCTTCCATATTGTGAAACCGAATGAAAACGAATTTAATTCGGCAGAAGTCACCACGCAATCTAGGAGCCATCAACTGACGAGAGTGGTACGAATGGTTTGAACTTCAAAAACCGAGGCGCTGCGTTTCTATCACCCAGTGCCTTACAACCATAATACACACCGTGAACATTCCAGCTCTCCATCGGATGATTGCATTGCAATGTTCCAGCAAACATAGTAAAACATCTCTACTATGCAGACTGACGAAGCCTACGCACTGCTGTCGACGGAGAACGAATCCTAGCTTTGAAGTCCGCTTTTGAGTGAACCCACTCGCTCATTTCGCGTTAGAGCACTTCCCATCGGCTCAGAAATACTCTTCCGGCTTTCAGTCACATCGCAGAAGCAGTTGTAGCATGTTTCGGAAACAAGAGCACCCAAAGCGAGGACACAAAACTAACGGCGGGAAATTTAAAATTCGTATTTGCCAGTGTTGTACAGCGCACTCTTGGTCCAAACAAAACCAAAACAACAAAGACGAACAATCGCAGGGCAGCCGACGGTAGCGCACTCTTAGAAAAAAGGGTCAGTATAGTCCTCCCTAAAGGGAGGAACGCTCTTGACACATATGTTCCTTCAGAAAGGGAGAAACTTTCGTCCCTTAAGCAGGGGAGGAAAAGTTCCTCCGTCGACTGCATCTCATTATGGCGGCCACGAATCGAGCAAATCGAGCTCGGTAAGGCTTAACGAGAACACTAAGTCTATTGCACGAAGCGAGAGTAGCAGGAAATAAAAACGTAACACGAGCTTTCCGCGAACTGTATTTATTTCCGAAGTTTCTTTACCCCTGCAGGTAAAGAAACTTACGTTTCGAAAGCATGCAGTCACTCAGTCTTCTCATCGTCAGCACTGCGATGTTCAACGGAGACAACGGGCACTCAGTTCGCGCACTTTATGTCCTACCTTTGCTATTTCTCGAGCCACAATTCCTTCGTCAACCGTTGCGTCAACCGCACATCACGGAGGAGTGAAAATCATTCGCCCGCAAAACCATAGCCGCTCTCAAAAAAAAGCAAATCCGAAGCAACCTCTTGGCTTATCTCAGCACGGTAACACGAAATTATGGCGTAGCCGCGTAGCGTAAAAGGATGTTAAATCGCTTGCCACCAGGTGGCAGGGTCAAGCAGAGTAATCGCACGTGGCTAGGCTAGGTGGCGCTAGGTACCGCCCAATTCATGTTTTAAAAAAAATATCTTTATTTTCTTTAGCCACAATTGCGTTTCCTTTTCTTCGGAATCTCTAACACATGTAGACACGTTGCGCACACTACAAACATCAGGTCAACATATATTGAACGCATACACAGGCATTGCACATACAAACATCAATACAACAGCATACTACCCCGATCACTACTACAGAGCCCTGCGTTTCCGTCTTTTATAGTGGTCGTTTTGAACGTACGAATTTTTCGGTGACTCCCTAAGCAAAAAAAAATATTCCGAACATGTTCATTTTTTTCCAGCAATGTAATAGATCTGAGACTATTTTTAATGGCTCAGGGGATGAATCTCTTATTAAAAAGAAGACGCTCGATCATGCCATAATTATTTGAAAGCCAATAAATCGAGCCGCTCCGATGTGGTTCCAAGCCATGAGTTTGTTTTCCCGCATGGCCCTTCGTAGCCAGTATTTATATTGTAGTGTTCGTTTTTCTATTTGTGCTGTTCGCGCAAAGCTGCAATTGCCGTCTTGAATTAATCTCTGTAGAGCGGATATCCACTCAGCTAGAAGTGATGCTTCACGGGCACAGAAATCGCTTTTCGATCAACTTGAATGCAGTCAAAGCCGCGACTTGCGACAACTGTTAAGTGTACGGAGCTGCGCCGTTGCGAGCTCGAAAACTTCTAGCGCTCATCCCAGCGCGCCACTTAGAGGGCAGTTTCTACAGGAACCGTAATATATTTAAACAGTAAAATAAAGGATAGCGTTTTTTTTTTTTTTTTTCTCGATTTCGCCTGTCTTTTTTTTTTTATGCTGAACTTCTATTATAAATATACGTACTTTTCGTCATACTTTCGTAGTGTTGTCTTTTCCCCAGAGCGCAATCGCTCTCGGGGACCGACAGTCACATTGGCCACTGTACGATAGGAGCTTACCGTTCAGACCAGCGTTCCAACATGACTATCCACACGTCGATCGACTGCACCTAATCCCTCAAGTGGTTTTAAACTCTTTAATGTAAAGCGGAATGTCATCCTGCGACACCCCGGCCCCTCCGATAACGGCCCGACCAGCGGCATCAATGCCCGACAGTTTACGTCATCTCATCTTGTTGTTACACCACTGATACGCGAACACACGGTCACATCGGCGATAATTCCGGTCTTCTGTTCACAACCCACAACACTGCCATCACGATGTCGCTGACACGAAGAAATACAGAACCACGTTGACGATGTTGCTGACACGCAGAAGAATCTCGTTGAACGCCGGTTGGCACTCGGCACGGGACAACGGAACCGAACTCAGCACGGAAGGCACCCAGGCAGCCGGCAGGAAAACCTGCCTTCCTTGGACGCAGTGACGCAGTTCCCGCGATTTCCATAACGTCGAAAACGTCGACACAGTTCCTCGTGGTTTCGCTGCTGTAGTTCCGCGTGTGTCCCGCAAATTGGAGACGGCCGCACTGGACGGCCGTCTTACCCAGTGTATGTAGCGCTGCTGGCACTGCTCCGGAACTTCGCTGTTTCTAGCGGCTTCGTTAGCTCGTTTGATAAAATTAGTGGTAAAAACGTCAATGCAACCGAAATGTTCTGCACGTTTGGACTAGAAGAAGGAATTACAGGCGGCCTTCGCTGCCGCTGAAGCTCAATCAACTCCACATTAATTTATTAAACAACGTGCGCGATGTGCTCGAAAAACGAAACCGAAAGAAGATGGGTCGGGAGGGCGAAAGCTTTCTCCGGTCTGCCTGGAGAAGGAAAACGTCTCGGAGAATAATAAGGACTTTAATTTTCCTTTCATCGGTGTGGGTTTGTTTATGTGTGTTTTGGTAAACAAAAATAAAAAAAAAACTTTACAAAAAAAAAAAAAAACCCACTTTTCTGGGGATCGAACCGTTCACCACTTGGTCAGTAGCGCGATGTTCTACCCCTGCGCCAACTGAACAAGGAGGAACTCGCCCTCCTCCTTTCACCTGAACTGCCGTTCCCCCCTTCTCTGGGCAACTTGTCCGCAGCAAGGAGGAACTGTCGCTTTTGCTACCTTTCTCCTCCCTTTTTTCTTAGAGTGCGGGCGCCATGAAAAAGACGCGCAGGCGGTCAGCTTTCTTCGTCAACTCGAACTTGAAGAGCTACCGAAACATTCGAAACCAATGTTGCTGTCAGGGCCGCCACCACGGAGCGCCGCAAAGGGAGAGGGGAGCGCATTAAAAACGGTGCCACGCCTCCCCTCCCCCCCCCCCCCCCACCAAAAAAAAACAAAAACTCCTACATCGCATTCTAACTATCCGCGGCTCAAACGGTGTGTATATAATCCCTGCTCCTCATTTTGACATTTTCTCGGCCAGACCGCGAAAGTTTTCACTGCACGTCTTGAGAGGAGCAAACTCCCCTTTCCAAAAAATCGCGCTTTGGACGCTGGGTGTTGTGTGCTTCCTCTGGAATGTCGAATGGGAGCATACATCTGGAGCGTTTTCTTAGGCGTTTTCTCAAGTACGCAAAATAAGATATGCCACAAGTCTCGTTTTTGTAATTTTGCATACCCCAAATTGTATTAGGAATTCCACGTAGAACTTCTCACTTTTTTGGGGGGAATTCATTACACATCTTCTTGTGAGTCCCATTTAAACACTAGCCGTAGAATTGCTCAGTTTCATACCGTCGGCGACGACTTGAATTCGCGAGTTTTGCTTACTTTTATGCACGAATATGTTAACGAGGAAGGGACCGATGTAGTGTTTTGAGCCTCAAAACCCGAAGTACCACGGAAGAAAGGGCAGAAGACATTCCTGGCATTTTCTATTTGTTTTATAAGCACAGGGTTGCAAAGGTTAACAAAGAACAGCAGCACTCCTGCGACCTCACGAGTATTCTAGATGCATTTCTTTTACTTTCCTTGTAGATACTAGTATGAAGCATCTCTTGTCGTCCCTCATTATTTTGACATATTATGATGCTTGGAATGCCGTTTTGACTGAAGGCCGATTTTGGTTATAGAAAAAGCGACAAAGTTCTCGGCTGATAATTTCACTTTGCGGAACAGCATGCGCGAATAGACCAATGAGACAGTTTTAACTCGTTCGACAGTACACAATCGGGCAATATTTTGGTGAGAATGTGTCACCAAAATACACAGAGCGAGAGAGGTCGCGCGGCCTCTGGTGTGCTTGTCCTTTATACTACTGTATCTAGTGTATCTACCGGTCGATGCCAGCTTGTGTATGGCAGCTGACGAACTTCGACTTGCAAACAATGCGCGGGTTGTTCGAGTCTTGCAACGTGAATTAGCAGGCTATCCCATTTTCAGCCTGCGTCCGATGTCACCTTGCCCCGGCGCTCCGTTCGTAGTAGACGATCAACTTTTCCCACCGTCTGTCAGCAAACGACGTTCGCTGTTCTCTTTTTAATGTCTGTCTGCTAATGAGAATTCGAAGCAGACGAACCGCACACATCGCTGGCATTAGCAGACGAACCGTCTACTCAGGCTATTTTCGCTCGCTCCACGAGATACAAATAATATCTTGCTCCCGCTCTCGTGTTGACCAAAGTCATAACCCAGGGGATAGCGCGACGATAGTATGACCTCTCGAATTCGCACATCAGTTCAATGAATGGGGTAGCTGACGGAATCCTTCCCCCTCGCCCCCCTAACTCCCCCCCCCCCCCCCCGAGAAAGCATCACGTTACATGACTGACATCGCCACCCGTATTCTAAGACACTACGGCTGGATTCGGGATTCAATTTTAACACTGACGAAGTTTCCGCGAAACCAAATATCCGTACCACAAATTTGACTTACCTCGCCGTTCAAAAAGCAGTAGAGCAGCGCCACCACGCACCCCTGTTTCAGAAGAGAAAACGAAACATGTCAACTGAAAATTAGACAAAATGGTCACCGTTTTTCACTACTACTGCTGATGGCGGCAAGCCTCGTTTACACGTTTTGTGTGATCTACTTTGGTTTACGCTTCTGTTATATGACATCCGTATTATGACTATCTTAAAAATATACAAAAGATCTTGAGAATCTGGCCGCACATTTTGTTTTATTATTTACTATTGACCTCACTCTTGCATGTCAGCATCCAGTACGAGCTGGGACGGGAAATGCTTATAATAAAAAAAAAAAAAAGAACTACGATGAATTTTTTTATTTTCTAATTTACAATAATGAAACTGATCAAAAAGGATATTATTTGAACCATCGCATCTTATATATGTAATAATTTTAAAGAAGGCTATGCGTGTAGTTACGGTATAGGCTGTTTTGAATATTCGTTGTTAAGACGTACAAAGATTGGAGCAGCCTTCTGGACAGGATGTGCGCATTGAATACAGTTACGTTTTTTTTTTTTTTTTTTTAGTACTCCCGCATGGCGAAATGGATAATTTACCCACATCCAATGATGCCCACGAGGAAATTTACAGCATGTAAACTAACGCTCTTAAGGCAATTTAGACGGTCAGCAAAAATCTTTTTTCCAGCGTATTGCGCTGCAATTTACTACAGAGGTGGTATTAGATGGTAAACGTTTACAGTGAAAGAATCAAGGAACGAACGTACCTCGTTCAAAGAAAAAAAGAAAAAAAAAGAACAGGAGTCGGTTTGTTACATTCACGATTCCCATACGATGCACGCAAAGTGAGAAGTGCTGCCGGCAGGTGGCGTAAGCCGCGTGGAGTAGCGCCGGCCGATTCGGGTTCTTTTGAGGGATCGTCTGCTGTCATAACCAGGATCGGCCGGCGCGCTCTCGACACCGCGTACGCCACCTGTCGGCATTGCCTGCGAACTGGCGGCGTAAACTTCCCAAAACAAATTCTTGTTTTTTTTTTCTTCTTTGTTTATACGAAGCCAATATATTTCGTCATTCTTTCTTTGGAAAATTTCGCCGCCGGCTTGCTCCTCTATAGTAAATCACAGTTCGATACGTTGAAAAACCTTCTTTGCGAGCCGCTTAAATTGCCCTTCAAGCGTTCGTTGACATACTGTAGATTAATTTAAACAATCAAGTATTTCCATGTCGCATTAGTTCGCTTGTACAATTATCGGACAAATCTAGAAAATTATAAACCCAGCATGAAACTCCTGCGCTGCCATCTTGAGTCACAAATATGTGTTAAAACAAATCCCAGGCAGTTATTATTACTATAAGTGTACAGGCGCAATCCTAGAATACTTCTCATTTCATTTCCATCAACGCGTATCGTATAAACATTTGTAAAACCATGAAGGTCGAAAAATGCATAATTTAGGTTGTTAAAAAAAAAAATTTAGACAGGATGACGGGGCACTATTTCTGCGTCGTTGAAGTGAACCGACTAGAGTGAACCAAATATATAGTTCGATTCGTTTTAGCTTAGATTGCACACATCATTTTCACGCGTTAAAAGAAGTAAAAATGAGAACTTGCGAAGAGTGAATAGAGGCAAAGCAAACAAAATATTAAATCCGTGAAGTGTCGCTGCCCATCTGGAAATAGCTAATGCAAAGAACCAGCAAGAGATTTACCAACCAGCAAATATACACCGCACCCGCGATCCTCGCAAAGCGTTTTTGTAGAAATCCTTCTAAAGAGGAGCTTTCAGCGTTCGCTTACTTATTTGTGTCGCGTCGCGCTAGCCTTTGTTCACTGTTCACCCAATCAAATATACAGCTTGCGTTTGCACACGCCGTAACGCCACGCCACAAGCGATACGCCAGCATCCAGTTTCATCCACGCCGCGTTTCGATTGTACTTTTTTGGCCAAGTTGTTGGTTTCGTAATCGAATTTCGTTCGCGTCCATTTGGACAATTCGTAGCGATACAACCGTAACAGCTCCAACAACACTCGACTAACGTTTATTATGAAAGTTTTTTTTTTTTTTTTTTATGAGTTTGTTTATTTATTTGCGCCGTGTTCCTAGGACCCGATACTTCAACCGAAAGTGTGAAGGCTTGTTCTTTTATATCTGGTCGTACTCATTCGCCAGTGGTATTTCCTTTCATGTCTCTTCACACGTCAAACTGGAGTGCACTCTGGAATGTGTCATTTTGCGCTGCGACGTGATACGTTGCAACGATTTGTTCTGGAGGACGCTATTTCGGGGGAAACTCCTAGTGTACTCATCTTTCGAGGCATTTTCTACAGCTGTCACCATAGTATCTTATATTACATAGCACAACTGAAGTGCGTCCTTGTTTTTATACTTCTCTTATTCCGCTCACATTTATCGAGGACCCCGTTGGCACTACGCATTGTGTAGATTTGCTTTGAAAGAGTAACAACACTGTTCAGTAGAAACAGAGAATAACATTGTATTTTCAGTGTATTGAACGTAATTTATAAGCAAACAAACACCTAGAAGTTACGCTGACGAAACATCTTGGCATTAAAGCCTTCGGCATCATTTTGGAATTTAGTCATCGGCAGTGGCGGTCTCATTATACAGGGTGATCGGCAGTGGCGGTCTCATTATACAGGCTTTGCATATAGGTCTTTGAAATGTCATGTAAGCTACATGGCAAGAGGGAAATGATGTAGAGCACTAATTGTCGCAATAGGTCCGATTATGAGCTAAAACTTTTATCTTAATCTTTTTATTTGACAAAATAAATACATGATACCAGTCGAAAAAACCTTCAGTGCGTAGACGAAAGCACTCAATCAATACATTTACAAATACTTTGAGCGAATGAGAAGCGCAGTTGTTTTCGAGTCAGCGATACTTGTTCTAGAATATAAATGAGGTTTGCTAAAAGGTTTGTTTGGGCTGGTTGCTTGATGAACGGTTAGGGGTAACAAACACAGGGTTTTCTCTGTCTTGGCGCAATGCTTATGCGGCATTTGCCACTGTATTTATTGAGAGCAAGTGAGAAAAAGAAACTTTCAGATCATAGTCACTGAAGTGTACTGCCTCGTCTTCCCCTGGCCCTTGTCCCGTTGCGCTCTTTTACAGCGAAATGTTCAATAACAAATTTAGAATGATATAAGCAGGAACTTGTAACGTGTTCACGTTTTGGTGGTGGAGAACTTATAATCGACGAATAGAAAACCGAAAAGACAACCGCTCAAACTCAATGCGAATAATGTTTTAAAAGTTTTTAAGGGACTACGGAGGTTCCATGCAGCTTTTAAAAGTTTAAACCGTCCGCCTATCTGTAAACGTTTTAAACTCTACATGTAGTTAACGAGGATTACCGCAAAGATTAAAACCGAGAGTGAGTAACCTGCGTAAGAACTCAATAGCGCAGCTCGGATGATTTTGAAGGCGAAAATTCTCGCGGATATAGCTTTCGCTACGGCGTTGGATATGAAGAGAGTAGAGCTACTATTTGAGCCAAGAAAACAAGTTACAACGTTTTCGAATAACTCTTCTAAAATGGTGAGCAGGAGAAACGAAAGCTCGTGTACAAGACACCTGCAATATTTCCTGGTGCTGATTTAATCCCCAGCCCTTTTTGTACCTGGATGAGCACGAGACCGGTGTACAGTCCTGAAGCCACAACTGGTTTATGCAGGCTATACGTGTCAGTGTACCAGCAGTACTGCACCGCCTAAATTGCCCATCTATAGCCAGGACGCGACGTGTTATTTCCGGGCAACCTAACTTCACGCTCTCTAAATCCCCACAACATACATATATGATGTTTTCGGCCTATGCCGTTCAACCCCATAATTTTATTAAATGCGCGTGTTAGCCACGGATAGGCGCGTTGCTTTTCGATAAAAAAGGTACATTCATCTTGTGTAGGGTTCTTCTGGTTTTTTATTTTTTTTTAAATGAACACCCCGGCAGCGATTGCAAAGGAGGAGTGTAATTGTTTTGGCCAGCTCGGCGCACTTCATCTCTCCCCTAAACATGCAAACGACCTGCACATTATCTAGTGTTCTTTTTTTTATATACAAAACCAAACCGACCAGGCCCAAAGCAAGAATTCCGCGTTCTTTTCAAGCCTGTGTAGCCACGTTACCCGCCTATTTTGCCCTCATACTGCGGTAAGCAAGATAGGGTCCATTTACTAAATACTCGTATGCTCAGAAATACTACGAACCCCGCTAGACAAGAACTTGAAGAATCAGTGTGGTTACACGCATTTGGAATAAAAATATATTCTCAAAAATATTGTGCTTTCCCCACACGTGAGTTGCTGTTTTTTTTTTTTTTGAACAGTCGTCATACCTAATTTACTATAACTGCGAATTAATTTGATACATCAAAATTAGATTTTGGCCTGTGGCCCTTTAGGGTGCCACTTTAACGAAAACTCAGTAAGTTTTTTTAAGAAGCTTTAGACTAGTAGGAACCTGCTCTGGCAATAGCCAGAAGAGCGAAGGGTTAGGGAAAACTGTAAGAAACACCGGCGGACGAATTATCGACCTCTAGTACTAGTGGGACGCCCCTGAGGCCTCCTCCTAGTCAATTGAGATAATTAGCTTTTCCAATTTCTTATTCGTGACCTAGCAATTCGACTCGCAAACACAAATGGACAGATCTTCTACACGCTAGGCACCCTGAAGGAAACTGCGGAACGTCGGACATGCTTCGTCTAACCCGAGCCAGGAAGGGCAAACGGAAGCTGGTGTTTTGTGTCTACCATTCGATTCAGCCGGCACTTTGTCAGAGTGGAGAACTGACGTGTTTTTATTGTTTTGAGTGCAAACGAAGCCCCCATGTTTCACTGCCGGGAGTTTCCACTCCTAAACGCCGGCTGAAGCAAGTTGCGTCCCTGGACTGGTATAAGACGTGTGTAATTGAATTAACCGGCTTTTTTGTTTCTGGATTCTGGTTTCCTACCTGTTTCCTCCCTGGATTTAGGTTTTCCTACCCTGTTTCCTTATTAAAATGGTTGACGGGGCGTG